TTCCTCCTCTCACTGGTACCCGTGCTTCACCATCCATCAGTCTCTGAACCAGCAGGATGGCTAATAACCTGAACTTAATACAAAAAGACTGGACACTTAAAAACCTGCTACTGTCTTTTTCTGTCTGAAGCAAACAGAATTTTTTCATTACAATCAGTCCTGGTAAATAATAAATGATATAAAATAAATATAAAGTTTATGATTTAAATGTTAATGTAAATGAGCAGAATTATTGTTTTTTACATTATCTTGTATAAAAAATTCTTATTTGTGAACCTTTTAAGATTTTGTTACCTTACAACTTAATCTTTTGATTTATTTAATTTGGAATATATGAGATAGGTTAACTATAAAGAGGCAATCGTGTAAAACTGAATATTTTCAATTTTTCTGGAAAACAAAAAATTTGAAAACTGTCTGCTTTTAACCACTTTAAGTCAAGACGTACAAAGTCTTCATGTGTTTTTTTTTTTTGTGTGTGTGCTTTTTTTCACAATAAGCTTTGTTTAAAAAAACACTTAAAATTGAATCAGAATGAATGAAGAGGGTTTGGGAACACCAATTTACAAGCCTTACAACAGATTTTAAGTTTAGACTTAGGTCCCGAGTAGGAATATGTGATTATTTTAAATGTTCATTTAAAATTATTTTAAAATAAAATAAAAAAAATTTGATCTAAGGAAACCTATTAGAGTGCATAAAACCACTGGTTTACAGCATGTACTACCTCAGGGTAAGCTCATGTTGACAAGGAACAGTCACTTTAACTGTCATTGAATTTGGGGCAATCCTTCATAAACCAACCATGAATGTAACTGTAGAAAGGAAAACTCCTCCTCTAACTAAGGTTATGATATGTTTTGTGATGATGTACCTTGGTCTGCCTCCACAAATAATGTTGCATATACACCAAATAAAAATTTTTTTTTATCTCATCTGGTTAGAATACCTGTGTAGGACTTGTTTTTTTGGAAACATGCAAATTGGATTTCTTACCAGTTTAAATTTGCAGTGTTTAACAAATAGTTAACCTAACAACAAATCCCCCAACTTCAGCTTTGAAGCTCTGCAGCTCCTCCAGACCAACTATGGACCCTTTGGCGGTTCTCAGATCCTCCCGGTGCTGTTTAGTCACAATTATACCATATTTTCTTGACTACACACTATAAGCTGTCCTCACCAAATTTTTTTTTTTTTTTTAAACTGGAAACGTCCATATTTAAGACGGGATATAAGCCACTTATATCTACTGAAATGTCTTGCACCAAACCTGTAGGAGGAGCTCTACATATAGCCCCTTCTAATGAAAGACGGGGCTTTGTCAGCTCTTTATTTAAGCTCTGCAAGAATTTTAATGAGGCAAATAAATGTCAAAATGTGTGAATTCGGGACATTTGTTCTCAGTGGTACCTGATGCTAGCATGATCTTGTGCTAAAGGAAAATTAGCCCCTTATTCTTTCATTTCCAACTTTGACTCCTACGGCACACAGCCCCTCAGGTGGTTAGGAAGAAATCCACAGAAAAGCTGAACCTTCACTGCAAAAACAATCCAGAAATAAGTAAAAAATGGCTTAAATTAAGTATATTTAGCCTTAATTTGAGCAGGTAAATAAGATGATTTGCCAATGGAATGAGTATTTTCACTCTTAAAATAAGATAGTTAGATAATATTTACTTGAAATAAGACGATAAAATATTTTTTTCTTATTTTAAAAGGAAATTGTCTTGTTCCATTGGCAAAGTGTCTTACTTATCTCCTCAAATCAAGGAAAAACACACTTATTTTAAGAAAAAATAACTTATTGAGATTTATATTTTTTGCAGTGTTATAAGCTGTATGGTTCAAGCATGGGAAAAAAAGTAGCAGCTTATTATAGTCTGGAAAATACAGTATTTCCAAAATGATTTGGTTTCACTACCAAATTAATGAATTTAGATATTTCAGTTGAAGTCATGTCTGCAACCTTATAATGTTTAGAGTGGATAAACCTGTTTGGCCTTAACAGAGTTGAGACCTAAACTCTCAAAAGAGCAGCTACAATTCAGTTGTTTAGCTGAAGCAATTGGGCTTTGTTAACTAGTTAAGTAACTTGTCAGGACTCAGAACATTGGACCCAGAATTCAAGCAGACTGAAGTGATTTATAAACAGTGTTTATTAATTGCTCAGAGATATGCGTCTCCACAGCTAGGACTAGATGGCTGGAATCTCTATCATGTTCGTCCGTCAATACGACGAGGACTATCTATTCATCCTATGGTTGGGGAAGTTGGGGTCAAAGGGGATGGGATGGAAGGATGTTAGATGACTTGCGCTATAACTGAGGAAGAGTTGTGCAACGTCATCCTCACTCTCTCGTCTGAGACCATCTAGATCCAGTGGCAAGACAGGTCAAGACGACTGGAGACAGGGATGCAGTGGATGGCCGTGACGTCCTACTGTCACGCGCTATGCGCACCATGACGCATTGCTGGCAATCACCTTTCAGCCCATTGATCACAAGAATTCTGGATTCGGCTGTCCTCCAGACTTCACACACACTGAGTGGACAATCCCCTACAGTTGGAGATCAAGGATCAGCAACTACCACATATCATGCGGTATGCTCACAAGATAGTCACACACTCACACCTAAGGAGAATTTAGAGAAGCCAATTAACCTAACAGTCATGTTTTTGGACTGTGGGAGGAAGCTGGAGTACCCAGAGAGAACCCATGCATGCGCATCAGAGAGAAGCAAAGCTTAATGACCACGTAACTCTTACAGGGAATGATAGCGAGCGAGTGAGTTACTAACCTACTTATTAAGTTCAGTTTAAGCCCAGAGGAAGGAGTGGAATCATGCCCAATGATTTTCCACAACGAACTCTCACCTATTGGTCGAATAATATGGCACTGATGGCTGAGACCAAGAAGTTTAAATAGGAGGTGGGACAGGTGGATCTGAGGGACAATGAAACTGGGCAGAGCTAGGCAGGCCGATAAAATAAACCAATAATCCAATCATCAGTGCCAAAATCATGATTAACAAGATCATGAAATTATTGCACTGGCTTTTTATCGAAGTATCAGGATGACAGCTGTGGATTTTAGACCTTTAGTCATATATTGTAGATTTTTTACTATGCATTGCACACTGATACCTTACTTAGTGGTGGTCTGTCACCAATAAAATACTTAGAAGTTTGTTTGGACCAAATCACCCTTGTGATTACTCCACTACAATAGACCTAGACAGCATATTTTAAATCGGCCGTCACAAACTTGGGTTTTAAAGTGGGCAGTGATTTTAAATAGTAAAAGCTAAGTGCACCTGTTGTCAGATCTTGCTCTCATCAATTAACACAATTGGCAAAACTAAAACTTTTTCTTTCAAGGCAACCCTATAAATGCTATAAATGCTTTTATTTCATCTCGTTTGGATTACTGTAACAGACTCTATGTTGTTGTTTACCAGTTTTTGCTGTCTCCTCTGCAGCTTGTGCAAAACGTAGATTCTCGCCTCTTAACGGTAAGCAAAACTTTTTTGGGTTTTTTTTTGTTGTTACTTTTTTGGAAAAATATGATCATATCATGCCTGTCCTTGCTCTCCAATGGTTGCCTGGGCACTTTGGAGTTGATTTTATCACATCTAGAGATAATTCTTATTTTTTGTTTTTAATTGCTTAAATGGCCTTACCCCATCTTACCTCTCTGATCTTTTTCACCCCTACTTGCCTCCTCGGTCTCTCAGGTAAGTAGAACAGCATCTCCTGCAGGTTTTGAGGTTTAAGAGGAAGCTCAGAGCTTTCTCTATTGCTGCTACTATTTAAATGGAATAGCCTCCCACTGCACATTATGGAAGATTTTAAAACATGCCTTAAGGTCCTGTTTCTCTGACCGTGACTGAGTGGATGTGCTCTCTTCGTCCTCTGGAATGGGAGCTGGCTCGGAGCTCGTCTGCCTGGCTGTGTGTTTCCTGGACGGGGCCGCCTTTTACAGCTGCTTTTTGTGTCTCTGCTTCCGTCTCCTTGAACCCCAGTCGGCCTCGGCAGATGGCCGCTCATATTGAGCCTGGTTCTGCTGGAGGTTTCTTCCTTTTAAAAGGGAATTTTTCCTCTCCACTGTCGCTACAAGCATGCTTAGTGAGAGGGATTGTATTTGAGTCAATGAGTCAATGCAATCAACTGGTTTTCCTTAGACAGAAAACTTTGTATCAATTTGACTGTATGATCTGGTTGAACTGTAAAGTGCCTTGAGATGACATGTGTTGTGAATTTGGCGCTATATAAATAAACTGAATTGAATTGAATTGAAGACTTATTTTTATTTGCTGGCTTCTAACACTGGTAGGACTTAGTTGATTTGATCTTGTTTATTTAGCTTAAACAAATTCTTCTTAGTGCCTTGTTTTATGTTTATAAGCTGCATTTTATTCTTTTATTGTGTTTTATTATTTTTAGCTATGTTCAGCACTTTGTTTTCAGCTGTAGCTTGTTTAAAGTGCTCTGCAAATAAAGTTGATGATGATTATATTCTATTTATTTTAATTATACACAAATGATTTCATTTGCTGCTTAGATAATTAGAACATCTTCCAACATCCCGCTTGTTTAATCAAAGTTCTTTTAGTGTCTCTGTGTTTTTAAGAGTGCATGTGTGGTCAGAGAGCATTTGTAGCCAGAGTCTGTCACACAAATTCCTTTTCATTCGCTTGGAGCAGAAAGAAAGAGAGTAGGACAAAAAGGGGGTGAATGTAGGAGTGAAAGAGTGAGTCAGGGGCAGCCGGAGAGGCGGGAGGAAAGGGGGAGATGATGAAGAAAAAAAGTAGGAGACATTTGTTATTGAGTGGACAAGCACGGACAATCCCTGGCACCCAGCTTTTTGAGTGTCACGTAAACCATCCCCTTCGCTATCCCCTTTTGGTTCCATTCACTGCCTGCCACCCTCCCTCCTCGCTGCCCCACCCTGTGGCCTCTCTGCTTTGGACTTGGGAGGGTTGCTCCCTTTATAAAAACCCTGTGTGTGCATTGAGGGAGCTTATTCCCCCAGCATGGAGAGCCACAGAATCCAGTCCTCGTACAGGAAACGTTTTGGGCTTCAGGGCAGCTCCAGCTCCAGAATTGGAAGCCTGTCTTCCAACCGCCTCTCCTGGCATGGCACCCCTCGAACATTCACCCACTCCAGCCCCATGTCCAGGATCTCCCTGGGCTCTCAGAGCACGACCCTGCTGCTGGGAAGCCCAGGGGACCGGCTTGACTTCTCAGCTGACTCCTTGATGAAGGCACAGTATAAAGAAACACGTACAAATGAGAAGATGGAGATGATGGGCCTGAATGACCGCTTTGCCAGCTACATAGAGAAGGTTCGCCTACTGGAGCAGCAGAACAAAATGCTGGTGGCTGAGCTAAACCAGCTGAAGGTGAAGGAGCCCAGCAGACTGGGGGACATCTATCAGGATGAGCTGAGGGAGCTTCGACGGCAGGTGGATGGCCTCACTAATGGCAAGGCACGGCTGGAGGTTGAAAGGGACAACCTCGCTGCTGATCTGTCCACCCTAAAGCAGAGGTAATACAAGGGAAGATGGGGCCGCTGTGGGAGGAGGATCCCTGACCTTAGGCTCATTTTACTTAATGAGCCTAAGGGCAGGAATTTTACAATGGCGGGTAAAATGGCTGGTAAAATGGGTAAAATAAAAACATCAAATGTTTTTATGTGCTATTACATAAATCGAAGCATAAAGGAACCAAAAATCTAAGTTCATTTTACCAAAACTCTTTAGGTAAAAGTGACTGACATTATCTTTCAATATCAGTTTCAAAATAAACAAGGGCTTAAGTTACTTTTAAAATTGTATATCCTTATTGTTTGCATTGAAATCTATTTCAGTAATAAAAAATAAAGGAGCTGAATATCTAAAACTTTGCAACAAATTTTTGATCATTTTAATTTATTTTAAAATAAGATTCTTGGCAGCTTTACAAATACATCACACTTTGGCCTGTTGTAAAAATATTAATGTTTAGATTTCAGCACTAATTAAATCAGTTAAAATCATATGGGGTAGTTTTGATAAATGTTGGTAAAAACTTTTTTTTTGATATGGAAATTTGGTTTCAGTTGCCGAGAGCTATGGCCTGCTGGAGCTTTATTCCCTTTTTGTAAAGTTGATCCTGACTGAACCCCTCACTGCTATTGAGGGACTGTGGAGGAATGAGAGGTTGGACAATGGCGGGTCTTTACAATGGGTTCCAACAGCCAGGCAGCTGTTCCCTTTTTCTCTCCCTCTAGAATAAAATACCGACTAAAATCACCTCACCGTGCACATTTCATTTCTCTTAACATGCATGGCTGGAATCATCAAACTTTATTTTGTTTTGAAAAAACATTGATTGACAGTCTGAGGGTGGGAAGATCTACTTTGGAGCCCCCCCTGCCCTCTGACCGTGCAGCTGCTCATTCTTTGAGGGTTGCAAAAAGAATGGAGATGCTTCTGCTCAGAGAGTCAAAGGTCACTTTTCAGGTTCCCACTGATTTTTGTGAAACACTGCAGGAATTAGTACAGATGTTATGCAAAGTCTCAGTGTGTCTGGTTATGTGTCTCTGTGCGACAGATGGATCGTTGGGTGGTGTCTGTCTCTCTTCAGGTCTATCCTAATATTTATTATTTGTGTTTCTGTGTGCAATGGTGTGTATTAGAGACAGTCTGTGTATGGTACAGCCCATGGGAAAGGCTTCTGGCTGCAGATTAGAGTAAAGTGCAATGATGTGTAAACTTTCCATTCAGCTGAGTCCTATTATGCCTCTGCTGCAGGGAAGAGTGCAAAATGAAAGCTAACTCAAAGTGCTTCAATATTTTATAAGCAGTGAAAATTTTAATTCATTGACAAAAAATGACTGTGCATGTAAGATTCAGCTTATGGCTTCAACTTATAGAGGGACCTTTTACTGCAGTATTGTGCAACTGCTTCTGACTTTGATCAAATCGGAAGTGATGATGCCAAATGGAAATGACTTTCATATAATCTTTTAAAACATTTAACACTGTTGCATAAATAATCTTAAGTTATGCTGCCAGAACTTACAGCACACTGGAAGTAAATGTAGAATTATTTCATGATGGCACCTGTTGGACTAGTTAAGCAATTTAATTTGTCCTCAGGGGATCCTTAACAAAGGAATTAAAGTAAATTAAATAAAATGTGATTATTATTTTAAAAAATAATGGTCATAACAGAAAAAAAAATCCTCTGCATTGATCTACTTCACATGCTATATATTATGACACCAATACTGATTCATTTTTTTTTTTCAATCATCAGATTAAATCAGATTAAAAAACAAGGAAAATAAGCTTCAGTTATTTGGGCTAAATCTGTTTATAACAAAATTTTGAAAATAGAATTATGTTTAAAATTCTTCATACCATTTTCACTGTAAAGAAATTTTCATAATAGCAATTAAATACTGTATATTTAGCAATGGCAGGCAGTGTTTAAGGTAGAAGGGCCCTGTTCTCCATTACCCTAATACTTAGTTTCTTGTGAAAATTCTCTATTTTCAACATTTTGGCTGGGACCATTCAAGACAAAAATGTTACTTCTATTAAAGGAGAAAAACTGGAAAAAAAAATAAAAGACAACCTTATATCTAAGTTTAAGTTTACCAGAGGAATAAATAGTAAAGGGAAATCACTTTTGCGCTTTTGTTATCAGTGTTCATAGCAGAATAAAAACAGCTTTGTAAATGAAATGACAAATTCCTTTATTTTTAAAAACCTAACTTGATTATTTTGCTGTAATTGAAACATACATGTTTATCAGTGAGCAGGATATTTGTTGTGTTTCCTTCTACTAATATCACAAAATTGCCTCTTACTATATCACAAAATTAGATGGTCAGATTTGCTGCAACTCTATTCACTGATACATTTAAATAAAACTACCAATATTAGTGTTCTGCAAGCAAAGAAGAGGAAAATTAAGTGCAAATCATCAAAGATAAATAAGATAATTATTGATTAAAAGAACATTAATAAGATTTAATGTCTTAATTTTACTTTACAGACTATGGGAAGATATACTTGGTGGCAACATGGTGCATGAATTTCATTTCAGTATTTTTTTGTCCTCTTTGACAGACTGCAAGACGAGATTACTCTGCGACAGGAAACAGAAAACAGTTTGAATACATTCAGACAAGTAATTTTTTCACCTTGCATAAAAAAAGGCCTTAAATTTTACTTACCCATAATTTGTGAGAGCTAAATTTCTTTCTACCCCACCTGTTTCTTTTTTTCTTTTTTTTGCAAAGGATGTGGATGAAGCAGCTCTCAATAGAGTCCAGCTGGAGAGAAAGATTGAGGCCTTGCAGGATGAAATAAACTTCCTGAAAAAAATTCATGAGGAGGTGAGAATCTACATTAAATCCAAGATAAAACCAAAATAATGAAAGTTTTGTTTTTCCCTAACCGTTGGTATCTGAACTCTTTTCTTTCAGGAGCTGCGGGAGTTACAGGATCAGATTGTGGCACATCAGGTCCATGTTGACCTGGATGTGTCTAAACCAGACTTAACTGCTGCTCTCAGAGACATTAGGGTTCAGTATGAGAACATGGCCACCTCCAACATGCATGAAACAGAAGAGTGGTACCGATCCAAGGTTAGAAAACACACCTGTAACAGTTATTCATCTAACATGTTTGACATGCAAACCTCTGTAGAAAAGAAACATGGGAAATTTACCAGAAAAAGTAAAGTGGAACTGAACTTTTTTTTCCAGTTTGCTGACCTGACAGATGCAGCCAATCGGAATGCAGAAGCACTGCGCCAAGCTAAGCAAGACGCTAATGAATACCGACGTCAGGTCCAAGCTTTGACCTGTGATCTGGATGCTCTCCGTGGCACAGTAAGTCAAACAGATCTCTCAGGAAATGGTCTAAGGAGCATCCATGTTCATTTTACATTAAAGAATAATCACCTCTGTCTCCCTACTTCATTTGTCAAAATCTCAGATCCCAACTAAAGAAAAAATCAGCATGAATTAATCTATTGCATTCTCCAAAGGCCATGGGTTTATTAAGCAATCTGATTCTAGAATTGTCTTGTTCTGAAACCTGATCCTTCTTCTTCATAAGAACGACTCTCTGGAGCGTCAGCTTCGGGAAATGGAGGAACGCTGTGCCATGGAGACCGCCGGGTACCAGGATACAGTGAGCCGTCTGGAGGAGGAGATCCAGGCCCTGAAAGAGGAGATGGCAAGGCATCTGCAGGAGTACCAGGATCTTCTCAATGTCAAACTGGCTCTAGATATCGAGATAGCAACCTACAGAAAACTGCTAGAAGGAGAGGAAAGCAGGTGAGACACAACTTTACAAACGGGTTCTATTTAACCTAAGAAACAAACACAATGTAAAACTTTTTTTCCCTTTACCATCAGGATCACCATTCCAGTCCAGAGCTTTGCCAACCTGCAGTTTAGAGGTCAGTATCAGACAGACCTATAATGTTTTCTACTTATACTATGTATTTGGTTCTTTCAGTTTTACCAAAGAGAAAGTAATTTTATTTAAGTAAGAAGGTAAAAAGTAAAAGTTGAGCAATTTCTAATAATACTTGGTCTTAATGTTTGTAATGAGTCAGAGTTACTTGATATCTTATCTCTGCAGCCTTTCTGAAGCTTCACAGCCTAGATCCTGATTCAAGACCCATCTAGTTACATAGAATTGTTTTTTTTCTTGACATTTAAACTAATGACACTGTATTAGTAAATGCCCCCCAAAAACATTTGAAAAGATTTCCTCCTATGGGAATAAACCATATGTATCTGACAGTCATCTCTCATAGAAAATCTGCATAATGATAAAAGACTAAATACAGGAGATGAAATGTAATTCAGTACATCAAAGAAATTAATATGAATGAATATTTCTTTAAAAAAATAAAAGAGCCGTAAAGTTGCTCAGAAAGTCTAAAGAAATACAGATTGCTTGCTGTTATGTTGTAACTGACTCTGTGTCTATATAGAAAAAAGCATAGAACATGGTACTTAAAAATAGTGTATTTAAATATTATATATAGATTTTTCCCAATTAAATTATCCTATATTTATATGTATTATAGTACAACAGGTTTAGGAAGTCAAATACAATTTATCTTATCTGATTATTGTAAATATGCGGTATTTATTGTAAAGGTGTGCCTTAGTACAGATGGAAACAGTATTGCAGAAGACTGAGTTATATTCTTACATTCCCCAGTGATCTATAATGACACCTTTTACCTCTGTTTATTGGTTAGAAACCAATTTGGATACTAAAACCCCAGAGGCTCATGTGAAGAGGAGCATCCTGGTTCGAACAGTAGAGACCAGAGATGGAGAGGTAGGAGCTTGAGTATATTGCACTTCTCAGGATTTTCCTCTGGGGGGCAATGTTTAACCCCTTTTCAAATGTTTGCACACATTAATTATATTAGAGAAGTGGTGCTTTTTGCTGTTTTTCACCATTTAATTGAGTTTTTTTTTTTTTTCAGATCATCAAAGAATCAACCACTGAGCACAAAGACCTTCCTTGAGCTTCAGTTTCCTGTTTATCCTCAAACATGTCCTGAGGCTTCTGAATGAATTAATCCGTTCTCTATCCTATCAATAACTTTCCCTTTCATCTTCCCATGGTGAACTACTTTCTAATGAATCTAACTGCATGACAAGACATTGCCAAATGAAATATTGTCAGACTAGAATGCTCATTTTGGTGTTAAGACAGTCATCTTAGAAACCTGTAACTATTTCTGACAAATAAGATTCCAGTGTTTGGCCATAGGGGAGGCCTTGAAATGTAGTGTTAGTGTTCATTTAATATGTACCGTTGTGTGGAGGTTGACGTGTGGTTAAGTGAATGTGAAACATGGTGGACAGGAGGGAGGGAGTTCTTGGTCTGTTGTCACTGAAATTGGATTTAGATAAAGAACAGGAGATATAGGCTTATGTCGCTGCAGCTTTTGACAGAATGACAGCTGAATCCCAGCAGTTTTCTCTTCCACTTGTTCTGGTGCTAATTTTTTGTTTGTTTCTTTAAGGAACATCATCCATTTCTCCAATTTAAATCTTGCGCATCTGCATGTTTGTTTTGTTTAACCATATATCAAGCTAAGATTTAAGCGGAACAATTATTTTCTCTGAAAAGTAGAAATGTGCAAAATTTGCTGAATTATAAAACCTGGAATGGATAATTAAGTTACTCCTTTATCACACTGATGCGGAGTGATTCCAACAGTCTTTCACTGTGAATAATCCTAAATATCACCGGTCAAAAGAAATAGTCTCTTTTTATCAGTCAGAGGGGTTAAAAATACACCTCTTCTTCTCTGCATCAAGCATCCTTGAATGTTTCCTGATAAAGTCTACAAATTTTGGCACCCCAAAGCACCAGCACAGGCTTCTCATCATACAGACAAGATAAAGACAGACAGGGCTTGGTCAAAGGTGTGGAAGCAAATGCAACCTTTGCCCTAGAGCCACCATACCAGAGTTTCTACTCAGAAAGTGACAGAGAGTTTTTGTAGTGTTGGCCAGATAGCAGATGATGATGAAGATGGGGAGTCATAGAAGAGCTGCAGAGCTATGGCTCTATGTTTCTTATTTTGAGGGAGATGATGTTGGAGTTAGAAAGATAGAGGCACGTCAGAGCTCAAACTGTTATCCAATCCCTGCTTTAGTTGGAAAGCTCTGATGGAAACATGCTGACAGGCACTGCCGCTAACGAGAATGACGAGTCGGGTCTGTCTGTCCTCGTCACCAAGGACACCTCGTGATTCGTGCCATCTATTTTGTACCCTTGCTAAATTCCAACCTTCTCTCCTTTCTTTCTAACACTCTTTAATACATTGTCTTTCTATTTTTTTTTTTATGTTGTTTGTATTTTTTAAGAACTCTTTGCAGATTTTAGTTGAACTTTAGCTCTAAACAATTCTAACAATAAAATTTTTTCTTTGCTCGGGATGTTGCCTCCATTTTGTATTTAAATAATTCTTTCTGAAAGCTAGCTCAGGTGTTTTTTTTCCCCCTTTGATAAAAAAATGACTTCATATACAGTACCCACAATATATCAGAACTAAGTTCAGTAAAGATGAGTTTAATGTGTGCTGACAGTCAATTGCACTGTATTGGGGGAGCAGGCAGCAGCAGACAGATGGTGCTTGAAAGTGATTGGATCTGACCTTCAGGCGGACTTCAGCACCAAAAAGGTTTTCTTTATTATAAGATCATGACTTATGAGTATTCCTCTCCATTAGTAAAGAAAGCTGGACTTTAAGTGGTAAAAGTAGGATTAAAGTGTGGATATACTCGTTTTCTACTCAGGCTTGATTAAGCAAGTTGAATAAGAAGGTAGAAGGTAATTTCAGATTTGACTTTCTGGCCCAAATGTAAAATTCCTTGAGAGGTTTTCGGTCTTTGATTTCAAAAAGGCTTAGAGTTTGGAAGGACTGAGAAATGTGGGAATTTACATGTCAAGAATAATGGCATGTACTTATATAGCGCCTTTATTCAAGTTAGGAGACTTGACTAAAGCACTTTACACTACATTCATTCACCCATTCACGCACACACTCACACACTGATGGTGGCGAGCTACATCGTAGCCACAGCTGCCCTGGGGCTCACTGACAGAAGCGGGGCTGCCGTACACTGGCGCCACCGGGCCCTCTGACCACCATCAGTAGACAATGCAGGTGAAGTGTCTTGCCCAAGGACATAAGGACACTGAAAGTTGGAGTCGGGGCTTGAACCGTCAACCCTTCGATTTCTGGGCAAACTCTTACATCCAACGCCACTGTCGCCACTAAAGGACATCACTAACTGTTTCCCTCATTTATGACCAAACCCTAAACAAAATGTATTGGTTGAACTTAAAAGTTTTACTACCCTCTTAGTCTTGTTCCTTTTTTTTTGTTTAAAGAGGGCAGGTTTTTGCATAATTGTTCCAAAACATTTTTTTTAGAGTGGTTCTCTAGGCTTTTGGGAATCACTTAGTTATTCAATTATTTTCTGTGAAATTTTTTTATCTTGTCTGCGATGGACTGGCGAGTCAAGGTGTACCCTGCCCCTTGCCCGTAGACAGCTGGAAATAGGCACCAGGACCCCTCACAACCCCGCTTAGGATAAGCGTGACAGAAGATGGATGGATGGATGGATGGATGGATGGATGGATGGATGGATGGATGGATGGATGGATGGATGGATGGATGTTTTTATCTCTGGGATTTTTTTCATTTAAAACAAGTTTTAAATGCAAACAAATGAAAATTTTAAAGGAGAGCTGTAGATAGCTTTTTTGAATATTTAGTGAATTGGGTTTGACTTCGTGTAAACAAGCACACACTCTAATGCAATGTAATTCTAACAAGAACAAAATATAAATTGGGAAAAAAAACAACTGCTTGATAGCACCCGAAGATTTACAAAAAGGTTATTATAATGGAGGATTATTAAAACAGCTGTGAAATAGGCTTTTAGTCTGGTTCCAACTTGGAAGCTCAAACAATAAGTCAGCAACATTAGTCAGCTAAAGTGAAGAATTATATTTCTTGTGTAGCTACACCATGGGGAACCACCGTTTGACTGACATGCAATACATTAAGAGGAAAATAAACTGTTTATATTATTATTATTTTCTATTTTGAGTTCCAGTGATGCTCCTTGAGAACATGCAACCTTGGACAAAGAGTCATATTATCCACATTCATCAAAGGCCACAAGCTGCAGTGCTACTGAAATACATTTAAGCACAGTTTCAGTGTCTCTCCCTCACTCTTGACTGACAAAGGCAAGTCACTACAGTGTGTTTCCATTCAAAATGTTTTGACTCATTTGAAGTTCATGTAATCTTTCATTTTGTTCAGAGACTTTGAATTTTGTCTCTGAGAATAAATATTTGGGAAAAGCATAAGCAAAGACGAAAGGAGAGTTTGATTATCCAGAAGACTGACTTTTACTTCCTAGATTAATTTGCCATTTTTTCTTATTTTTCTCTTAGTTTATTATCCTTACAAGTTTGTACAATAGAATATGTAATCATGGTCACTAATTTTTAAGTGAACAACAGAAGATGGTTTTGGGGTTTTTTGACAATTGCTACAAGTGGGTTGGATGCACTGATGTATGACCTGGTGTTTGAGTATGTGTAAACTACAACATTATACTGTTAGCGAGGCTTTTATCTGGGTGATGGTGGGGGTGGGAGTAGGAGGGAGTCTCAGGTCTTGGCTGAAGGCGACCATGAGCTGAAGGAATTCCAAGCAGATAAAGCTTTGAGAGCCCAAGCCTTGATGTTTGGCCCTTTCCCCAACAGTCCTCTTCTACAACAACGGGAAGGGTCAGAGGTAATGTGATGCATATTTCTTTTATCCTTGTTATCTCTGCAGCAGGTGTGAAGTGGACACAGCTCTTGTATATGTATACACCATAGAAGTCAACTTCATTTGTTGGAAACAACATGATATGGTAATAGTTGCATTTATATTCCTTATGCAGGGTTGTACACATTCAGAGTGTTCTGGTCTCAGAAAAAGAACAACTTCCAACTAGAAAAAGCTGTTTCGGAGAAACAGCAAGTGGGAATGCTTTTGCTGAATGAAAAAAGCTGAAATTACCTGAAGAACATATGAAAATGTGATAGGAAGTCATCAGAAACTTCAAACTGCAGAAAACAATTGAATCATCTGAAAATTTTGTAGGGTAGAATCATTTGGCAGTAAAATGGCAGAAACAAACTCATCTTAAAAGCTGCACAGCCAAACCATACATGATATCAAAAATGTCTTGAATGTGGGCACTAGAAGGGTCTTAATATAATGTCTCCCAAGTTTCTAGATGAATGTGTCACATATTTTGAAGGGGGGCCACCTACTGCCCAGAAACATGTCAGACGTGTTATGAATTAGCAGCAAAGTGAAAAGCTTAATTCTTGTCCAAAAAGAGAGCAGAATGAAGCAGAAGTTCACAGTATAGGCTGAAATTTATTAAATTAGCTGAATCAGAAAAGAAATTACAAAGAAAAACTTGACTCTTATCTGGTTGCACAAAAAAGGAAAAGCTTAAGGATGGGAAGTAAAATGTTGAGGAAGATGGTATTGAATAAGTATCAAAATTTTGAAATCATATGTGGAAATGTTAAGACTTGGCAAAACAATTTGAAATGATTTAAAATGTGTCGGTTGATCAGCATAAAGAAAACAGTGTCATCCTTAGAGGATTGAAAATCTACAAACCTATGTGCAAGACTGACCATGAAAAGCAGAGGAAGGACAGAGAGAGAAGCTTATAGAAAGAGAGCTAATACCACTCAAGGAGCTGAATTTATCAAAAAAACTAACCTGCATGTTACGAGCCGCTGTGGTGATGAAAGCACTGTTGGCAGGCTTAGGCTGCATGTTACAAGGTTAGCAGATGCTTTATTACAGTGTAAATCTTAGAACCTGATTAAGAAATATGTACTGAGGTGTGTGGTCAACAGGCCTTGGTAGTGTTGGGTCATAGCTACGAGCCATATGGCACAATGAATGAGTGTGTGTAAGGAAGAGGCTTTTATTGTGTAGAGTCCTTTTAGTCTTATTTTGAAAGTCTATCATGGATATGTGTCAAGGGAAGGGTCATGGCCAGCAGTGATATGGAATCCATTTCTAAATATGAAATCCCTGGTTTTCCATGTTAATGGGTGAATAGATGCTGTATTAGAGCATAAATGGGAGACTTTTATTGTGAAATTCGCTCTGGGGTATGTTTTAAAAAGGTCCCTAGAGTCTAATAGAAACAAGCTGGTGGAGTTTGGGTCATAATGCTGAGCCATTTGCATCAATTAATACACAAGTATAATATGGAGGCTTTTATTTTGTGGGGTCACTAGAGTCTTATTTTGAAAGTCTAGCATGGTTGTGTGTTGAGAAAAGGGTCAGACCCAGCAGTGATACTTGATGACTTTCCAATCGTTAAATCACTCTTTTCCCCTGTTATTAGGGCAGTAGATGAAGTGGCAATGGGAGGCTTTTATTTTTGAAATTTGCTGTGGGATGTGTTTGAGTTTAATGTAGGGGCTTTTATTTTGTAGGGTCCCCAGAGTCTTATTTTGAAAGTTTATCAGGGTTGCATGTGAAGGGAAGGGTCATGGCCAGTAGTCATTTTTTATCCATTTCCAAATGTTAAATCAGTGTTGTCTCCCTCCATTAGATTGAAATGTGCTGTTTAAAGTGGCAGAGGTAAAATCCCTTTGAAGCTTTTGTTACCTTGACAACGCTTAACGAGCCTGTCAGTGAAAGAGAGAAAAGCGCTTCACTTTTGTTCCTTTCTTCTCAGGCATTTTTGAATGGGAAAATCAGCTCAGAACAAACGAGTGCTGAAGACAAACCGTAAATGGTATCTAAAAAATTCAGTCTAAGCGACGGCTATCCTTTGTCTCCGATTGGGGTAACTTTCATGGATGTAGCTCATTCACAACCTTAATGGGAAGGAGAAATAAAAAGGTTTGTCACACCTGCTGGTCTCATTAAATAACATGCAGCTCAATGGTAGAGCAGAGCTCTCAAAAGCAAAACTTCCCCTCTGAACAAACGAGCGGTGAGCCAAAACCACCGCTCGTTTGGTATTCAAAAAATTCTTTCACCGTTGGCGTCAGCCATCCTTTGGCTTCGACTGTGCCAAGTGTCATGTTTCTACTTAAAACTATTTGGCCACGGTGACGATGTAAAAATGTGTTTTTTCTGAGTATGAGGATTTTTCTCAGAATCAACGTTTTGCTATGCCTGAACAAGTCAGCTAAACAGCTAAACCATAAATTATATTGAAAAAATTCCTTCAATGTGCGTGCTAGAAGGGTCTGAAGATGTTCTATTCCAAGTTTCATGTTAGTACATCAAATGTTTAAGAAATGGGAGCGATACAA